GTCGGAAGAATGATGACACTTTACCAACAACATCATTTTTGTTGGTAGGCGGCTGTCTCAGCAGGACTGGGTCGGCGCCTGGCAGAGCCGCGCTCTCCCACCTCTGTAACTCTTGGTAACTCTCTTGCCTCGAGGCAAGCCTTGAGGCGCTTCTTAAATCTATTCTTTTGCCCTCCAATAGACCGTTTGACATGTTGTAGTTGGCGGTAGAACATGTTGGGCCGTGGTTCAGCGGTCATGCGCACAACATGGCCCGTGTGAGCTGTGTCTTGCGCAGCATGGTGTGGATGCTTGCTATGCTAGTCTGTGCTTGGACGTCTGACTCTCATCTCATCCTCAACACCTTCCGCAGACAGCTCAGATGGGAACTGAGCTGTCTGCTCAGACAGAGCTGCTGCTTAACATTTTTGCATGGTAACTGTTGACAGTTCAGGTCTCAACACTCAGAGAGGACGAGGGCGGGCGGGCAGGATGACCTTTAGTTTAGTGTCAGTGTCAATGCCTCTTCGATCCCAGACATTGAATCCAAGCCTTCTTTCTAAAAGCTGCGCCGACTCTTGGGATCCTGGTGGACACTGACTCTCTCTGATAAAGAACTAACCAGGTATGCTAACCTGACAGCGTTGTTAAGCTCCTGGGCATTGGCGGCTTCGGGTTATCTTGAGGTTATCTTGAGATGATTTCGGGGCTTTTTAGTGTCCCCGCGGCCCGGTCCTCGACCAGGCCTCCACCCCCAGGAAGCAGCCCGTGACAGCTGACTATATAACACCCAGGTACCTATTTTACTGCTAGGTAACAGGGGCATAGGGTGAAAGAAACTCTGCCCATTGTTTCTCGCCGGCGCCTGGGATCGAACCCAGGACCACAGGATCACAAGTCCAGCGTGCTGTCCGCTCGGCCGACCGGCTCCCAGCCGGTCGTTACAGCCAGTGGGTAGTTACAGCCAGGAGAGGCCCTCTTCCAGCAGCCCGTCCTCTTACAAGGTTCCCCGACGTTAAGAAAACGGTCCATTTAAAGTGTCATCCTCCTAACTTACCAGAGGTCCCAAAACAGAAAACGGGACAGTACGTCACTTTCGCGAGCAGCTTCCGTTTTAAAGTACGACCATTTTTGGTCTTGTGTAACGCTTACGAGCGAAAAGCGACGTTCGTTGTAGGAGGACAAGTGGATGTCAGAGCCGCAGTCGTCTTAAGGGGGGAGGGGAGATGATGAGGACCTAAAGATCCACTGTACTTCAGTTGAGAGCACAATCGTTCGCAAATACAACGTCACGAATGATCTCAAATTGGACACTGGTTCTGGCCTGTAGAATAACAACAATCACCATTAACCAGCAACAATCGGGAAGAAAGGAGACAACTATCAGACAGCACCAACAACAATCACAGAGCAACACAACAATTGTAAGACAAAAGCAATCAAGACACTGAGAGTTAGGAAGGTTCATGATATAATGACGGTGGGAGACCCCAGTGTGCTTCTGTTGGGGTCAGCTGCCCGGGCTGGTGTTGGGGGGTCAGCTGCCCGGGCTGGTGTTGGGGGTCAGCTGCCCGGGCTGGTGTTGGGGGGTCAGCTGCCCGGGCTGGTGTTGGGGTCAGCTGCCCGGGCTGGTGTTGGGGGGTCAGCTGCCCGGGCTGGTGTTGGGGGTCAGCTGCCCGGGCTGGTGTTGGGGGGTCAGCTGCCCGGGCTGGTGTTGGGGGGTCAGCTGCCCGGGGCTGGTGTTGGGGGGTCAGCTGCCCGGGTTGGTGTTGGGGGTCAGCTGCCCGGGCTGGTGTTGGGGTCAGCTGCCGGGGCTGGTGTTGGGGTCACCGAGCAATAAGCAAGTGGGAATTGCCCGTCCCAACCCCTGACCACCACAACTAGCCCAGGGCAGAAATATCACCCACCCTCCTCACTGCTCTGTTATCATTGCTCATAGATTACCCCGCTCCAGTGCTGGTATTTACATTCTCCGATCAGTAAGGCTGTATAGCTTCCAGCATGCTAATTGTAGCGAGGCTTGCTAATTGTAGCATAGGAAGCTCTCCACGGCGGTAATTAGCTTTACCTGAGGGGTAATGAGGAAGCAGGAGACAAGCACACTGCAGGTTTTATTCATAATAATATAACAGTAATAATATAACAAATAAAAAGTCAGTGGCTTGTGGTATCAAAATGGATTTATTGAAATTATTCTCGTATGATGTTAAGTTGGGGTTTAGGCTTCGGGTGATGCGGTGAAACCGGTTAGTGCAGCGCTGGTTAGTCCTCTGGCAGTGCCTGCAGGGTCGGGCTCTAGCTCCCTCCTGTGTGGAACCCACCTTCTCTTGTGTCTCGTCGTACCTCCTCTTCAAGTCGCTATTTGAGTTCTGTTCGCTAGTGTCTTCTTCGTGTTGGCAACACCTACACTGATGGTGTTTACCCACCGTGGTGCTATAGGCGGCAACCGTCCCCGCCCGGCTGTGTTTACAAACAGACGGTTGGCGCCACGTGCTGTCTCCTCTACCCACAGGCCTCTTACGGGCTCACCTGTTTACAAACAGACGGTTGGAGCCACGTGCTGTCTCCTCTACCCACAAGCCTCTTACGGGCTCACCATAGCCCGTGCTACATGGACACTTCGTTCTGAGTAATTAAATCTAAAACAACAAACACAAGCCTCCTGACGCTGAACGCTATCATCTTCTTGTGATCTTACGGTTATCTTGAGATGATTTTGGGGCTTAGCGTCCCCTCGGCCCGGTTCTCAAACCAGGCCTCCTTTTTATTACACCCCCCCCCCCAGGAAGCAGCCCGTAGCAGCTGTTTAATTCGCAGGTACCTATTTACTGCTAGGTGAATAGAGGCATCAGGGTGAAAGAAACTCTCCCCCCCCCCCCCCGCCTCCACTGATGATTGAACTCGGAACCTCAGGTCTACGAATCCCGCGAGCGCTGGCCACTCAGCTGTCAGGCCCCCATATAGTAATATTGGGTATAATTTCCTCACTCCATGTTATTATTGGTCAAACGCTTTGACAAAGTTACCTACGTCATCAAGGTCAGTCTCGCGAGCAGTCCATAGAGTACTCCATAGAACAGTCCATAGAGCGGTCCATAGAGCACAACTGCACAAGTCGCCTCTCGCTAGATATGGGAAAGTTTCGAACCCTGGGAGAAGTGTGGTAAAACACGGCTGTGGTGGACATGTTGGAGAGTTGTGATGTGTGGGGGGGGGGATGATCGACCCACCTCTGAGATTTATATTTAATTTATATGAATTTATATAAACTTTATATTTACGTTAATTTATATATTTCGATAGCAATTTGTATGATGTTTAGCGGACTGTATTTCTGCAATATTCTAACAAATTGACTCCTTTCACATTAGGGGAGGTTTATAATAAATTTATATATATGCAGCCAATCAAACTACAGTATTAAACTACATATAGTGGTAATGATAATTGAGAGGCCTTATCTTATTGTACAGTAGGCCTAGTCCACCAGGTATAAACATGGATGTTGACACCAAATAATCCTCAGTTGAGACTAGCATTCACCACCCGTGTACTGATGTACCAAGCCTAATTCTTGCTTCCTCTTCTATACCTGTTAAAAAGGACACTTGCTATAAAGCCAGAATCCTATATATCACCGCTATATCAGAGGAAATATTTGTGTATTATATAAGACAAGGACCAAGGAATAATTACCTGGATGATTACCTGGAAATTACCTAGTTTCTTTCACTCTATGCCCCTGTTACCTAGCAGTAAAATAGGTACCTGGGTGCTAGTCAGCTGTCACTGGCTGTTTCCTGGGGGTGGAGGCCTGGTCGAGGACCAGGCCGCGGGGACACTAAAAAGCCCCGAAATCATCTCAAGATAACCTCAAGATAGATGATGTCGCTTGTCATGCGTGCTAACCGGTTCACTCTATATCTAACATTAACTGGCCAGAAATGTGGTAATAAACGGGTTTCGGTAAGACACTTCCCTTGTTTGGATGTTGATTACGTGTTGATGATGGTAGAAGCACTAATTTAATCTCCATAACGCTTCGTCCAAAGGAGAATTGTAGGAGCTGAATTTGCTCCAGCGACTCTGGTCTAACAACAATGGCTGACCTTCCTCACCACTGACGCCCTGGCTCTTTGTCCAGATGTCAGTAAGTTGTAGAAAGGTCACATTTACTCTGTTTTAATACTGATAATTAAGTTAATTCAAATGAGATGTTTTTATGGTAAAAGTTCAAAGACTGCCGTATTAAGAATAATTCCCAATAGAATAGCTGGTGAATTTATAGCACTATCTGGCAATGATATCCCATTTTCTATTGATGGAAAATTCCCCTACAAGCTACATTTTCTATGGGTTAACTTGTGTATACAACAGGAGAAATATTATCTGCATATTGTATTTAATATTAGTAAATGATGTCGGGTTTTCCGACAATGTGTATAAGAAGTTCAGGTGCAAGAGCTTCGTGGTGCAAGGTAGGAGTATGATCAACAGTTGCTCGCTGCTGCTGCTGCAACATGTTAGAGTATTATGGTCGTAGTGAGAGACAGTCTGTACGATCGACTTTTATGCACAGTTAAGAGTTACACCGCTCCTGTGCCAGGTAAGTCCACTACGGGCTCACCATAGCCCGTGCTACTTGCCCCGCTCCTGTGCCAGGCAAGTCCACTACGGGCTCACCATAGCCCGTGCTACTTGCCCCGCTCCTGTGCCAGGTAAGTCCACTACGGGCTCACCATAGCCCGTGCTACTTGCCCCGCTCCTGTGCCAGGTAAGTCCACTACGGGCTCACCATAGCCCGTGCTACTTGGAACTTGTTGCGAGTAGCTGAAGCTATAACACGTTAAGAGTTAAGTTTTTGTACTCTTTAGTACTTTCTGGATCCCATATCCACACCCAAACTTACCCCCCGCCCCTATACTCTAATACACCCCCAACCCAACCCCATCAACACACCCATCCCCCCTAACCCCACCCCCAGCCACCCCCTCTCTCACCTGTCTCTCTCTCTCCCACAGATTGAGGGACACGTCGTCAAGAATGGCGTCTGCACCTTCACCTTCTCCTTTGGTGGTGAGTGTCCCCAAGCTGGTGGTGAGTGTCCCCAAGCTGGTGGTGAGTGTCCCCCAAGCTTGGGACGCAGACAAGGACGCAGACAAGGACGCAGACGGGGTTGTGAGTACGTCTCTATGTATATTCACCGGGAGTTGGCCATTTGCATCAAGAGGTAGACCATTCCAGCCTGGCCACACCATAAGTTATTACTGTAAGACACTCGCCCGGCGCACCGCGAGCGCTTTGGCCTGGGTTCGTATCCTGGCCGGGAAGGATTGACCGGGCGCCAGTCCTTAACTGTAGCCTCTGTTCACGTCCTGGCTGTGTGACCACCTGCTGGCTCCAGGTCACACTCGTCCTGGCTGTGTGACCACCTGCCGGCTCCAGGTCACACTCGTCCTGGCTGTGTGACCACCTGCTGACTCCAGGTCACACTCGTCCTGGCTGTGTGACCACCTGCTGGCTCCAGGTCACACGTGTGACCACCTGCCGGCTCCAGGTCACACTCGTCCTGGCTGTGTGACCACCTCCCGGCTCCAGGTCACACTCGTCCTGGCTGTGTGACCACCTGCTGACTCCAGGTCACACTCGTCCTGGCTGTGTGACCACCTGCTGGCTCCAGGTCACACTCGTCCTGGCTGTGTGACCACCTGCCGGCTCCAGGTCACACTCGTCCTGGCTGTGTGACCACCTGCTGACTCCAGGTCACACTCGTCCTGGCTGTGTGACCACCTGCTGGCTCCAGGTCACACTCGTCCTGGCTGTGTGACCACCTGCCGGCTCCAGGTCACACTCGTCCTGGCTGTGTGACCACCTGCTGACTCCAGGTCACACTCGTCCTGGCTGTGTGACCACCTGCTGGCTCCAGGTCACACTCGTCCTGGCTGTGTGACCACCTGCCGGCTCCAGGTCACACTCGTCCTGGCTGTGTGACCACCTGCTGACTCCAGGTCACACTCGTCCTGGCTGTGTGACCACCTGCTGGCTCCAGGTCACACTCGTCCTGGCTGAGTGACCACCTGCTGGCTCCAGGTCACACTCGTCCTGGCTGAGTGACCACCTGCTGGCTCCAGGTCACACTCGTCCTGGCTGAGTGACCACCTGCTGGCTCCAGGTCACACTCGTCTTGGCTGTGTGACCACCTGCTGGCTCCAGGTCACACTCGTCCTGGCTGAGTGACCACCTGCTGGCTCCAGGTAACACTCGTCTTGGCTGTGTGACCACCTGCTGGCTCCAGGTCACACTCGTCCTGGCTGTGTGACCACCTGCTGGCTCCAGGTCACACTCGTCTTGGCTGTGTGACCACCTGCTGGCTCCAGGTCACACTCGTCCTGGCTGAGTGACCACCTGCTGGCTCCAGGTCACACTCGTCTTGGCTGTGTGACCACCTGCTGGCTCCAGGCCACACTCGTCCTGGCTGAGTGACCACCTGCTGGCTCCAGGTCACACTCGTCTTGGCTGTGTGACCACCTGCTGGCTCCAGGTCACACTCCTCCTGGCTGTGTGACCACCTGCTGGCTCCAGGTCACACTCGTCCTGGCTGTGTGACCACCTGCTGGCTCCAGGTCACACTCCTCCTGGCTGTGTGACCACCTGCTGGCTCCAGGTCACACTCGTCCTGGCTGAGTGACCACCTGCTGGCTCCAGGTCACACTCCTCCTGGCTGTGTGACCACCTGCTGGCTCCAGGTCACACTCGTCCTGGCTGTGTGACCACCTGCTGGCTCCAGGTCACACTCCTCCTGGCTGTGTGACCACCTGCCGGCTCCAGGTCACACTCGTCCTGGCTGTGTGACCACCTGCTGGCTCCAGGTCACACTCCTCCTGGCTGTGTGACCACCTGCTGGCTCCAGGTCACACTCGGCCTGGCTGTGTGACCACCTGCTGGCTCCAGGTCACACGTGTGACCACCTGCTGGCTCCAGGTCACACTCGTCCTGGCTGAGTGACCACCTGCTGGCTCCAGGTCACACTCGTCCTGGCTGAGTGACCACCTGCTGGCTCCAGGTCACACTCGTCCTGGCAGTGTGACCACCTGCTGGCTCCAGGTCACACTCGTCCTGGCTGTGTGACCACCTGCTGGCTCCAGGTCACACTCCTCCTGGCTGTGTGACCACCTGCTGGCTCCAGGTCACACTCGTCCTGGCTGTATGACCACCTGCTGGCTCCAGGTCACACGTGTGACCACCTGCTGGCTCCAGGTCACACGTGTGACCACCTGCTGGCTCCAGGTCACACTCGTCCTGGCTGAGTGACCACCTGCTGGCTCCAGGTCACACGTGTGACCACCTGCTGGCTCCAGGTCACACTCGTCCTGGCTGAGTGACCACCTGCTGGCTCCAGGTCACACTCGTCCTGGCTGAGTGACCACCTGCTGGCTCCAGGTCACACACGTCCTGGCTGAGTGACCACCTGCCGGCTCCAGGTCACACACGTCCTGGCTGAGTGACCACCTGCCGGCTCCAGGTCACACGTACGAACAGGTCCAATACTGGCAGTGGGTTTTGCTTCTGATGTCGCATATGTGAAGAAATATTTTTGAGTTTTCTTTATTTCTTGAATGGCCTTATGTTCTAGTTGCCTTTCTTCAATGTGGTCTGACTGCTTGAGTCTCTGCTGGCGAGGAAAGTCATTTTGTAGAGAAAGTCGCGTCTGCTGAGCATTTCCGTTATTTGTTGAACTTTCCTTGTGTCGTCTGCGTGTTCTTTCTACGTTGGAGTTCTTTCTGGGTTTCCTCAAAGGAACATGTTTCACACTTCACAGAGACCCGACCTCCAGTGGGCAGGATTCACGAAACCCTGAAGTGTCCACATGCGAAACCTGTCCATCTTTCCTTAATCATAACGCTGGCTTTGTTTACATATATTGAACAGTATTTGAACTTGGAAGTGCTCAAAGGGTATTTGGAACCAAAATAATCTTGGGTTGTTAAGATTCGCATCTCGTAAACTGATTAATGAATACAAGACCGGGCCGCGGGGACGCTAAGCCCCGAAATCATCTCAAGATAACCCCAAGATGACTCCATACACAGTTTCAAATGTAGACATGATAGAGCCCAATAGGCTCAGGAACCTGTACACCAGTTGATTGACAGGTGAGAGGCGGGAGGAAAGCGCCGAGCTGCAAGTACAGTGAGGGTAGTGTACACACACACACAGAGGATGGTCTCCAGGGTGAGAGTGGGTTACGTGGGTGTGTAGCGATAACCAACCCTGCCCAGCACGCATTCCTCACTGTGGTGTATGTGGTCAACATCACCAGGCTGTGAAGATGCCACCACTGCTGCCTCGCCAAGGTCAGCACGGCCTCGCCAAGGTCAGCACGGCCTCGCCAAGGTCAGCACGGCCTCGCTAAGGTCAGCACTGCTTCGCCAAAGTCACCTCTGTCTCGCGAAGAGTTGGTACCTCTGCCTTGCCAAGGTCAGCACGGCCTCGCCAAGGTCAGCACGGCCTCGCCAAGGTCAGCACGGCCTCGCCAAGGTCAGCACTGTTTCGCCAAAGTCACCTCTGTCTCGCGAAGAGTTGGTACCTCTGCCTCGCCAAGGTCAGCACGGCCTCGCCAAGGTCACCTGTCTCGCGAAGAGTTGGTACCTCTGCCTCGCCAAGGTCAGCACGGCCTCGCCAAGGCCAGCACGGCCTCGCCAAGGTCACCTGTCTCGCGAAGAGTTGGTACCTCTGCCTCGCGAAGGTCACATCCGCACTTCGAAGCAGAAAATGTATAATTATTACAACCTTTAATTTTAAAACTTTCCTTATTTGCACATTGTGAGGAGAGCGGCAGGCACACAGGACCTACTGGCAGGAGAAGAGTTTTTATTATTATTATTATTATTATTTTCTACCACAGACGTGGCCACACATTTACAATGCTAACCAGCATATATACATTTTCTTCTGTCCTCCATGGACAGGGTTAGAGAAGTGTTAAACATATAGTTCAAGGGTTTATTGAACACTCAACCACAGAAGGTGATTCGGTGCTTTTAAAATGCTAAGCTAACCTACATACGTAAATACATAGATGCACAGATTTACGTATGCCCTACATAAAGTGTTAGATGTGTCTTTTACATAGTGTCATTAATGTGCATTTACAAAGGTGAAATGTATTTCTGATCAGCTTCCATATATACTTTATACACATATACATAAACACACACACACACACACACACACACACACACACACACACACACACACACACACACACACACACACACATACGCACATATACATATATACATACATATATACACTTACACATGCATTCACATACATTTGTCTCTCTTACTCTGACTGGGTAAGATAGCTGATAGAGAAGCTAGTGTGCAATTAAGCACTTAATCACTGAAGGTGATTAAGGTACTTTTACAAACTCAGGTTATATAGTTACATCACATACATACATTGTATAATTGATACATTACATGGTTAATCTTGGGCACAAGTCCAATATATCATCAAGTGTTCCAGTACTCGTATAGTAATTACACAGTTCAGCATACCTTAGCCCAGGAGGGCGAAAGTCAGTCAATATGGGACATTCTACAATGTAATGTTCAAGAGAGTGGATGTCTTCTCTTTCACAAAGTTGACACATTGTGTACTTGACATTTGGGTTTTGAGAAAGTTGCCAGATACGTCTATATCCCAGGCGTATTCTGGCCACTATAACATCACATTGCCGGGTTCTTGTTCTATTAGTCCCATATGTGAATGTCTCCTCACGATATCTATCATAATATTTAATGCTTCAACTTTCAGGTCTTTGTGAATTTGTTAGGTCGGTGAGATCTTCATTCGATATTTGTTTAAGTATTCTCTTTGTCACTGCTAATGAAACACCCATATCAATTTCTGCCACTGGTTTTCTAAAGGCTGTCTTTGCAAGCAAGTCAACAGTCATGCCTTCCTATGGATACCATCACATACCATGTGATGGTATCCATAGGAATTTAATTTCAAATCTGTTTTCTTTAGCAGCTAAAACATTCATTCAAATATCACTGACTATTTTC